TTTTTTTTCATCTTTTATTTTTAATTTGTTTGTTGATATTTTTTTCAAAATCAGATTTTATAGAATAAGTAGTGAATAAAGAAAGTAGTTAATTAATGAATGAAGTACTCTCCCAATGAAATTAATTACTTGTAGATTTCCTAGGTGAGTCAAAGTAAATATATTTTCAGGATTAATTAATTAATCAATCAAGGGTATAATGGGCAAAATATGACAATTTATACATAAATTTTATAAAATGACATATATTGTGGTTCAGCTATTTTTAGAAAAAGGTGACTTATAATATGGGACGGAAGGAGTATAATGAAGGAATTAAAGAATGAAATAAAGGTGAGGATAACAAATGCACCAAGTGTTACACTCTGACTATGCTAACGTGAACTGCAACGTTCATCAGAAAGCAGCAAAGTGCATAATACCTATGGTCATTAATTGACCACTAAGTAATTAGGCACAAATGCATACCGTTGTAGCAATGAAACGCCATACTCCCACGTCCTCTATTCCATGTTAATTGTGGCAGAATGGCTATTAAGCCAATGACAAAATTATGTGAGACAAATTAATAATAAATAAATATTAAAATGCTCAAAAGACCAACATAGCTTAATAGATACTGTTGACACGTGCAAACGAATAAAAAAGAGCATTAGATAGACTCTAGAGGAACATCTTCACTTCTTCTACTCCACCAATACTTCCTCGGTTCATTTTAATTATCGTGTTTATTAAACATAACTTATTTTAATAAATTAAGATACAATTGATTATTTTTATCATTTTATTTAGTATAAAATTTGAAAAAATATTTTTTTAATTAATATTTTTAAAGGGACGTATTGTGGCAAAAATTGGCAAATATCATTCACTGAAAGTAGGCATAATTAGAACTCCCACTTTCACGCTAACATTTTCTAAACCCTAAGGCCTATGCTAAACCATAAATAAAGCCTATATGTATAAGATTATATTAAAGATTTGTACTAATCAACTTACTCGTCACGGCGACGTTTAGTTGTTTTGTCTCTTTCAAAATACCTTAATTTCTCTTTGTATAATAATAATACTAGTATTTGTCACACAACAACTGAAGAAAAAAGCATTTCACACAACTTTTAAGACTTTGGCTCTTGAAACCCATTTGTGGATAATGTTTTCTATAGATTCTTCACTTCTCAATTAGTTAGTACAGTACTTTAATCGAAATTCTTTTATTAAATACTACTTAAATTGAGAAATATAATATGATACAATAACTTATTACAACTCGAAATCAGGATTTAGCTTGATTTAGTCTTAGTTAAGGTCTCTCGAAAAGATTTCCCCTTCCATCTATTTTAATTATAATTTCGAAACTTCTTAAAAAACACAATAAGTTGGAATATGTATTTCTAAAGAGTTGAAAAGTATTTTTTATTTTACCTATTAGTGAAAAATGAGATATATTTGCTATAGTCATGGAGTTAAAAATCGTATAATTGTTAAAAACTTTTGCTTTTCGTCAATTATAATGTCTGTCCAATTAAAATATGTCTCAATTATCAAAGCATACAGCAACAGTCTTATGATATGTGAATATCACGAGTACCACGAGACTTATAAGATAACATCACGTTCCTTGCACTTCTACGTATGTTTTTTTTTAATACACCAAAGATTATATGCTAAAATTCAATTGCAGAGCCGTTGATATGAAGTATAAGTTATAGGAATTCAATTCATTTGGGCTAATTACATCTTATTTCAAAGATTTTTTTTAATTACAAAAAAAAAATAGATTTTACATTTATCTCGAATATATTCATTGATTGTCCAATACGTTGCAAATGATACATTACTTAATAGGAGAGATGTATTCGAAAGAGGATAACGATGAATCTGAGGGGCATTTGAACGTATCCATTACGTAATGGGAATGATGTATCTGAGAGGGGATAGAGATGAATCCGAGGGGTATAAGGGCGTATTCGAGAGGATAGACAAGTATCTAAGAGGGGATATGAATGTATCCGAGAGGAGATTTTTGTAATTTTCTAAATGATAGAATTTTTTGAAAATTATGATATCTGAAGTTGTGTATTTATATAATTTTTCCTGATAATGTCAACTGACATCTCAGGTCCTTTTTATGCAATTACAATATATTTAATAGGCGAGATTATAAATTTCAAATATTTATTAATGAAATTATATTGCTTATATTTTTTTGTAAAAATTATTTAAAATGATATTTATATTTAAATGTATATCTCAAATTTGAACAACAACTTCAATAGTAAAAAATGAATTTAAAAACAAGGGAAAAAGGACAAATATACCCCCGAACTATCGTAAATGGTATGCAGATACTCTCCGTCATACTTTTGGGACATTGGTGCCTCTGCCGTCCAAAAACTAGAGCATATATACCCTTTATACTAACGGACATACATGTGTCATAATCTTATCCATCGATTCAACATTTATTAAATATCGGATCCACGGATAAGATTGTGTCACGTGTCCCTATTTAGTCTTTCGTTAGAGTGAAGAACATATATGCTCTAGTTTTTTTACGGCAGGGGCACCAATGTCCCAAAAGTATGACGATTGGTATCTGCATATCATTTACGATAGTTTGGTGGTATATTTGTCTTTTTCCCCTAAAAACATATTATAAGCATTTAAATATAACTTTGACTCCTGAGTTTCTGTCTTTTTCCCAATCCTACGTAGTAAAAGCTTTAGAGCCGGTTTGAATTGACTTAAAAAAACAGTTTTAAAGTTGAAAATAAAAAGTTAAACTAAAACGATTTTTAAATTAAAAAAAAAATGTAGGGGAGGCCTACTTTTGATTTTAAACTTATTTTAAGTCATTTTAAATTTATTTTAAGTTATTTTAACCTTGTCAAACACTTTTTAATTTATTTTAAATTATTCTTTAACTTATTTTAAGTTATTTTAATATTTATCAAACAGTTTCCGAAGTTAAAAAAACTGACTTAACAATCATCTTTTTTCCTAACTTTGACCACTGACCATTCAAATCTTAATCAGTGGTCTTTGAATTTATGATGCAACAATGACATCAACATCATGTCAATGCCAAATTATTGTTATTGTTACTATTATTTATTGAGATAAAGCGCGGGTCATTAAAATGCTCAAGTTACCTAGTGCAATCTAGCAAAAAATGAGTTTAATAATGTTTTAAATCATTTATCAATTGGCTAGTTTTAGGAAGTGATAGTTAAATTCCTAAATCTATCGAAGAATACAAATATGGGAACCAAATTAGTACTATATTAGTCTAAACAAAATTCTATAATAATCCGTCAATTGTAATGGCTTTCTTATAGCTTATGATTTGACTCCGGCATGAAGCATATAAAAATTTTATTCCAGAAAACAACGATTTATTCTCTATTGGAAAATATTATATTTTTATACTAAATTTTATGAAATTATAATATTTTTTACAGTAATATTGGAAAATAAAATAAATAAATAGAAAAAAGGAAAATAATGAATTATCGTTTTTCATTTCTAAAATAACAGATTATTTCAAGAAATTCGAATTCTAATAAAATACCTCTTTGATCCATTTTAAAGTTTTTTTTTTTGTAATAAATGATGGATATTACATCCACTTTTAATTGTCATGTCACATTTTTCGAAAGTCAATTTGACTAATTTTCACAGTTAAATTAGATTACATTAATTTAATATTTTAAACAAAAAATTTAGATATTCAAAAACTATACAAATAGTACTATAAATTCCAATTTTTTTCGCATATCAATATGATGAAAAAATACATCATAAAATATTAGTCAAAGTTATTATTGTTTGACTCTAAAAAAAGAAACTATGACAATCAAAAGTCGTCGGATGTAATACTACTCTCTAAAAGAATATTTCCTTACTTAAAAGAGAAATAGAGAGCAATCATTATAACTAATGCAAGTATTAGCTAATTGCTTTAATTAACGGGTCCATGTCCAAATATTCATGGAAAAACAAGTTTGCTGGATACTATTTTTCTAAACGTGGGAACACTTGCCAGGAACATAAAAACAAAGCCAAACAGGACAACACAAAATAAAACAAATCTTTTGTGCACTTGATAGTTGATACACAAGTATTTTAGATTTCAAAAGTAACCTCTCTTTTTTTTGGCTCTAAATAATATGATAGTAATAATAAGTTAATAACAAAAAATTCTAGTCCAAATGTGATAATAAACCTTCAACGGAGCATCATTTTGTTATGCCTCTCCCCCATTATTTTTATATATATGCTAAACTTATCTTAGCCTCAAATTATAAGAAGTGTGACAACTTTTCTAGAAGATTTTTTCGTCAATTAAAACTTGTGTAAGAAAAAAATATTAGATTCCGAATAATGTAATGTTGAAGAGTTCTTACCCTTGTCTCCATAAATTTAAAATTTTCGAATCTAAAGAATTCCATTCACATTTCTAAATTTTCTCCTTATAGGAACTATTCTAATATTCATTGAAAAAGTATCCAACCCAACTAAAATAGTCAAATTTTGAAATGATACATCCTCCTTTTTGATTCCTTATTTTTTTTTCCAAGAATAAAAGATAAAAACTTAATTACTTTATTTCCATTTATTCTTTTTGAGTCAAAGTAAGAGTGTGAGTGTGTGACTCATACTTTAAGAAAATTAATTAATAAAAGAAGTAATTTAAACTCAAGATTTTGCATTCCCTCTTTCTAACTCTTGTAATTAATTAGAGTAATAATATTAATAAAAGAAGTAATTCCCTTGTATTTATAGTACTACATCTTTTGTGATACTATATTATAGTGGAGTACTAAATATTTTTTTTTATGCCATATAATATTTTGAGTCCAAAAACCTTATCATTACTCTCTGCTTCAAGTTACTGCAACTCTTGTCTTGTTCTTCGCCATTAGAGTCCAATACTAGCTTTTTTTTCTTCTAATGTGTGAACACTCTTCACGCTTTCAGTACTATTTCTTCTCCTTAAACTCTGCTTCCGTTACACTTGTAATCCATGCAAAAATTCCCCCCACCTCTTTCTAACTCTTACCTTCCCAACATTCAACCTCCATTTACAGATGTTTATGATTAATCGGTTCTTGCCTTTTTAAGGACTTGGAGGTAGGGGAGATTCATTCAGTCATCAATGGATTACATGAAGCTTCAATTTCTGATACTCGTTTGTTTTTTTCTCTTCATTGTTCCGGCGAGTTCATCGCCTCGGGATATCGCTATTTTACTCCGGGTTAAGTCCGGCCAACTCGATGACCCGAATGGGTTGCTTGATGATTGGAACGGGTCTGCTCCAAATGCGCCTTGCAGCTGGAACGGGATTAAGTGTGATCGGAAAACCGGTCAGGTTGTGTCCATTGATTTTGCAAGTTTTGGAATCGCTGGTCGTTTTCCTGCTGATTTCTGCCGGATTTCGACTTTGCAGAAACTCAATCTGGGTGATAACAGTTTTGGTGAGTCCATTTCCTCTGACTCATGGTCACTCTGTTCGCATCTACACTTTTTGAATATTTCTTTAAATTTCTTTGTTGGCCGGCTGCCGGAGTTTATTACCAAGTTCGATAACTTGACCATCCTTGATGTTAATTCAAACAATTTCTCCGGTGAAGTTCCGGCGAGTTTAGGCCGTTTACCAAAATTACAAGTGCTGAATATAGCTAACAATCTCCTCAATGGTTCAATTCCTGAGTTCTTGACGAATCTTACCGAGTTGACTCGATTGGAAATTGCTGCAAATCCGTTTCAGCCAGGTCCATTGCCTTCCTCAATCGGCCGACTCGGTAAGCTTCGAATTTTCTATGCTCGGTATGCGAACCTTATTGGAAATTTTCCAGATTCTATCAAAGACCTGAAATCTATTCAGAATTTTGATGTGGCAAACAACAATCTCTCCGGAAAAATTCCAGAAAGCTTCGGAGAACTCAAAACCATACAACAAATAGAGCTCTTTGGAAACCATTTTTCAGGCGAATTGCCGGACATGTTTTCCGGTCTTGGTTCTCTTTCCAGGTTTGACGCTTCTGAGAACAATCTCACCGGGAAAATACCTGAAACCCTTGCCCATTTGCCATTGGAATCTCTAAATCTCAATGATAACCAATTAGAAGGCGAAATTTCAGAAAATTTAGCTCTTAACCCAAATCTTAGTCAGTTCAAGCTTTTTAACAACAGATTTTCAGGTACTTTACCTCAAAATTTTGGTTTAAGTTCAGATTTAGATGAGTTTGATGTCTCCGGCAACAATCTAAAAGGTTCTTTACCTCCCAACCTATGTTCTAGAAAGAAACTTAGGATTTTGAACCTGTTTGATAATAAGTTCAATGGGCCAATCCCAGAATCCTATGGGCAGTGTTATTCACTATCATATGTGCGTATCTATAACAATCAATTCTCTGGTGAATTACCAACTGGTTTCTGGGGATTTGATGGATACACATTTCTTGAACTGCGAAACAACAACTTTCAAGGTTCAATTCCAGCTTCAATCTCCAATGCTCGAGGCCTGACACAAATTCTTATCTCCGGCAACAAGTTCTCCGGGGAATTGCCAGCAGAACTATGCAATTTGGAAGAGGTTGTGATCATGGACATTAGCAAGAATCAATTATCAGGGGAGTTGCCTTCGTGTATCACAAGATTGAAAACATTACAGAAGCTTGATCTTTCACAAAATAGGATCAAGGGTCAAATTCCCAAATCAGTTAGTTCTTGGAATGACCTGACTGAATTGAATTTAGCTAACAATCAATTGACAGGTGAAATTCCTGGTGAGCTTGGGACGTTACCGGTCTTAACCTACTTAGACCTTGCCACAAACTTGCTTTCTGGCGAAATTCCATCTGAGCTGAGCAAACTCAAGCTCAACAAATTCAATGTATCAAATAACAGGCTGGAAGGGAAAGTTCCACTTGGGTTTGATAACGATTTTTTCGTCTCAGGTTTACTGGGCAATCCGGATCTTTGTAGTCCGGATCTTAAGCCTCTGCCCCAATGCCGAAGACCCAAAAGTGTAAGCTTGTACTTGGTGTGTATTTTATCAGCTTTTGCCTTCATACTTGTCGGGTCACTTGTTTGTGTCTTACTCAAGGCCAGTAAGCTGCTACCAATCCGTAGCAAGCGTAAAAGTGTGTGGAGAATTACTGCATTCCAACGCGTCGGTTTCACAGAGAGAGATGTGTTAGATGCACTGATAGAGGAAAATCTCATTGGAGCTGGTGGGTCGGGTCGTGTGTACCGGGTCAAATTGAAAAACGGACAGATGGTAGCAGTGAAGAAACTTTGGGCGGCTAAACGGGAAAGAGAATCCGAGGAGGTGTTCAGGTCTGAGGTGGAGACATTAGGGAGAGTCCGGCATGGAAACATAGTCAAATTACTATACACTGGCATTGGTGATGACTTTAGGATATTGGTGTACGAATACATGGAAAATGGAAGCTTAGGAGATGTATTACATGGGGAAAAAGGTGGCTTGTTATTGGATTGGCCGAGGAGATTTGCCATAGCAGTTGGAGCAGCTCACGGATTGGCCTATTTGCACCATGATTCTGTGCCAGCAATAGTGCACAGAGATGTTAAGTCTAATAACATTTTGTTGGACGAGGATTTCAGGCCCAAAGTGGCTGATTTTGGGCTAGCTAAGGCAATGCAACGGGATGCTGAGGAGAGTGAACAAGCCATGTCCCACATTGCTGGTTCCTACGGCTACATTGCACCTGGTAACCTTAAATTCCTTATTGTTTTTCACCATTTATTTTAGGTCCAATGACTGTTAGAAATTTTCTAGTCTTGTTAGAAATTTATTTGCCAATAAAAAATGTTGAAAAAATCTAGTGCTAAGGAGACTATTTAAAAGAAAAAAAATATTGAACCAAGATAGGCATAAATGAAGTGGTATGGACAGCAGGAATTCATAATGCTAACCTCTACTTGTTTGGGATCAGGGCCTAATTATTGTTGTCGTTCAACTTTTTTGTTAACTTGTTGTGAAAAGATATTTAATATCTTGCGTTTGGCATACCAAGGACATCCAAAAATAGTTTTGTGGAAGTTTTGGTTAACTTCACATACTATCTTAAAATTTTGATTTGATTTGATTTGAAATTCTTTTATATGAAGCCAGAGAAGATTTTAGGAGATGATTCAAACTTAGAAGTAGATTGGAAACTTTAATAATATCCATTTAATTGTAGCATCTAGTTTCATTCCTCTAACTGGACGTTGTTTCTGAAGTCTGCATATTCTTGTTTGGCTTGCTAATGCTTGATTATATGTTTAACAAGGGGATTTGTCAAAGTAAAATCAAAGAATGATTGGGCATCCCATTTTTGAAGTCTGCATGACTATTTAGTTTTAACTACCTGTAATATTTAATCCTGAGTTTCGTTTGGGATTTGTCAAAGTAAAATCAAAGCATAGTTGGGCGCTCCTTTTTCTGAAGTCGGCATGACCATTTATTCTACACCGGTAGTAATATTTAATTCTGAGATCACATCAAATTATTGAATGATTTTGTCACCCAATGTTTGTTAACACAGTCAAGATTTGTTTGAAAGAATAAAAAATAGGAGGGTCATGTGTGTCCTGTCACCTAGCATTTGTTAACATATTCAAGATTTGATCTAAAAGAATAGGATTGAAAGAGACATGTGCCTAAGTATTGTTACTTATTTATCTAATTTATCGATATCTTAAATTCTATTTACTCCCATAAGTCCTCTTTGATTGGACATACAGTTTCATCTTTTTTGTAAAGCTGACACTATCCGGTCTGTGGCTCTGCCCATGTGCCCTTCCTTTGCAAAACTGAGAGAATACAGAAACCAATATCGTTGATGGATATTTTTTGATGGCCTTTTGATACTAGAAAACATTCCGGTTGCAATGACAAACAGTTTGTTAAGTTGATCTTGGCTACTTAACGATTAGGAAGATGCTAAAGTTTGCTAAATATCTCATGGGATGGCACATGTGTTATCCAAGGTTTTCAGCTGCACGTTTAAACTTAACCTCGATTCCTTTGTTTCAATTGCAGAATATGCATACACTCTGAAGATCACTGAGAAGAGTGATGTTTATAGCTTTGGTGTGGTACTGTTGGAACTAATAACTGGTAAAAGGCCTAATGACTCCTCTTTCGGAGAGAACAAGGACATTGTCAAGTGGGTGTTAGAGGTTGCAACATCGTCTAAGAAAGATGAAGGAACTGGCCATATTGTTACGTGCGCAAGTGGTATTCTTGATTTGAACCAGCTAGTTGACCAGAGAATGAATCCATCTGCAAGCAATTATTCAGAGATTAAAAATGTTTTCGATGTGGCTTTGCTTTGCACTTCAGCATTGCCTATTAATAGGCCCTCCATGAGAAGAGTTGTTGAGTTGCTGAAGGTTATCCCCTCTGCTCGCTCTAAAACAACCCATTAGCTTTTCACAGTTTCAACATGTCCTTGCTCAAGTAACTTGATACTATTGTAAACTGTAAAAGAATGTGTGAAATTAGGTGTGTTTAGGTCTGCTTCATAGGTCGATTTAGTTTGCTTGCTGTGGTTTAACAAGTACCTTGTTAGATACTCCAGTACTACACAGAGTAGCTTAACTAAAAGTTTGCTGACCCTGTAAAACTCATGTTGTAACGACTAAACCTTAAGAGTTTTTGTTGCAATATATGAACTTTACTATCATATACAAGTATTCTATTCTGTATCCATGAATTACTTTTTGTTGGAATTTGATGAGAACTTCTATGAACAAATACAAAATGAAATTTATCCACCCAAAGTCAAAAGTTGGAATATTCCTTCTTTCTGATCTATTTTTCCAACGTGCAGAAGATTTCACTATATTTTAAAAAAAATATTTGTTGATGGAAATAAATAAAAATGACAGGTAATATGAATTTGTTTCAAAATACACAAAAATATTTCCTCATTAAAAAAAAAAACCAATTCTGTGTGTGTCCATTAACTTTAGACATTGTCCCTCCATTTATTTATGATGTCTCCGTAGAATCAGAGAAGAAGCGGAGGAGCAGAGCAAAGCATTCAAATTCTGGAGATCATCGGAAGTCTTCATAAAAAGCTTCTTCATTGATTCTATTGCTCGCTCATTCTGCAAAAAACATACCATTAAAAAAAACACAGACAAAAAAGAGAAAGATGAGGGAATGCATATCCGTTCACATTGGTCAAGCCGGTATTCAGGTCGGCAATGCTTGCTGGGAACTTTATTGCCTCGAACATGGCATCCAGGTCCTCTCCATTTCTTTAAGTTTTCTTGAATAATGTTAATATGTACATCTTTCATCTGTCTTTTCATATCTTTAAGAAATGAGTGAATCATACCGTCAATTAGTTTTTTCTCATCCCATAATGTATCCTGAATTATTTGTGTGTTTAATAGCCGGACGGCCAGATGCCAGGAGACAAGACTCTTGGAGGAGGTGATGATGCCTTCAATACATTTTTCAGCGAAACCGGCTCAGGGAAGCACGTTCCTCGTGCTATTTTTGTTGATCTTGAGCCCACTGTTATTGATGAAGTGAGAGCTGGACCATATCGCCAGTTATTTCACCCTGAACAATTGATCAGTGGCAAAGAAGATGCAGCGAACAACTTCGCACGAGGACACTATACAAGTACACATTCTGCACCTTATTCAATTGTGCCCTCATTTTGAACTTGTGATGTAACTCTTGAGAGTTCTACTATTTTGTTTTTCTTTACCAGTTGGAAGGGAGATAGTTGATCTTTGCTTGGATCGAATCAGAAAGCTCGCAGACAACTGCACTGGTCTGCAGGGTTTTTTGGTCTTTAATGCTGTTGGTGGAGGCACTGGTTCTGGCTTAGGTTCACTTCTATTAGAACGTTTGTCAGTGGACTATGGTAAAAAATCCAAGCTTGGGTTTACTGTGTATCCCTCTCCTCAGGTTTCAACCTCTGTTGTGGAGCCATACAATAGTGTTCTGTCAACCCACTCCCTATTGGAACACACAGATGTTGCTGTCCTGCTTGATAATGAAGCCATTTATGACATTTGTCGTCGATCCCTCGACATTGAACGTCCCACCTACACCAACTTGAACCGATTAGTGTCACAGGTATTGGCACATTTACAACTCCTCCATTTTGTAATGGCTCAAGCCTAACTATAAAGGTATTGGGGGCCAGAGCAGACAATACCTCGTCAGTTGAACCGTTTGACCCTTGTATGATTTTGTTTCTCTTATCAATGTAATGAGTTTTCTAACTTCTAATCAGGTGATCTCATCTCTCACTGCTTCTTTGAGGTTTGATGGAGCTTTGAATGTTGATGTGAATGAATTCCAGACTAACCTGGTCCCATACCCAAGGATCCACTTCATGCTTTCGTCTTATGCTCCAGTTATATCTGCTGAGAAGGCTCACCACGAACAACATTCCGTGGCAGAAATCACCACAACTGCTTTTGAACCAGCTTCTATGATGGCCAAGTGTGATCCTCGTCGTGGCAAGTATATGGCGTGCTGCCTAATGTATCGAGGGGATGTGGTTCCTAAGGATGTGAATGCTGCTGTATCCATTATCAAAACCAAGCGTAGCATTCAATTTGTTGATTGGTGTCCAACAGGCTTTAAATGTGGAATCAATTACCAGACCCCAACCGTTGTCCCCGGAGGTGATTTGGCCAAGGTACAGAGAGCAGTGTGTATGATATCCAATTCCACTAGTGTTGCTGAGGTTTTCTCTAGAATCGATCACAAATTTGATCTAATGTACGCGAAAAGAGCGTTTGTTCATTGGTATGTTGGTGAAGGCATGGAGGAAGGTGAATTTTCTGAAGCCCGTGAGGATTTAGCTGCACTTGAGAAAGATTATGAGGAGGTGGGTGCTGAGTATGGGCAAGGTGAAGAGGGTAGTGAAGGAGAAGAATACTAATTAATGAGTGAAGATCATTAGATGTTTTTTCTATACGCTTAATATTTGTAAAAATAGATCACTTTATACATGTACATGCTAAATTTCATTATCGGATAACTATACAACTTTTCATTTTGTAATAATACATGATATTTTTTGAAAGATAAAAGAAGTGTGATAATGATGAGATCTTATAAAATGAACTGTTCTTTCGATCTATCAGACTTGTAACAAAATGAAAAAATATCTGAGGATATTGCTCAGAGGTTGAACAAATTTAGAAAAAAATGAACAATATTCAATCTTTCTCCAGATATCTGGTTATCAATTTCTTTCACATGCCCCCGACTTCCGTTAGTTTGTGCTTGATTTGGCCTTTCGAGTTACGCAATTAATTAATTACTCAGCCAAGATCCTTTATCAAGAACATTGGGCAACTCATCTTGAAGAAGAACTGCTTTACTTGATCACTTTGACTTTGAGAATGACAATAGTTTTGACATCTTGATTTGTCGAATATCAAGAATTTACAAAATATTCAAAATATCTCTTTTAATGGAATATGTGTGTGTGTGTGTTTTTTATAGATGTGAGCTAGGGTGAGTAAGCTGTGAGCCTGTAAAGATTTTTTTAAGGAACTTTTAATGAATTTTTGAGCGTAAAAGTTATGGATTGAACTTGTCTTGTTTAAAATATCTACCAGAGTATTAATAATAATCAGAGAAATTACAACAACAATATTATTAAAAAACTAACATATTTTGTTTTGCAGTTCTGCAAAAATTGAGTTTTGTAAAATTGTTTTTGAATTTTCAAATTAAATTTGTTTGGAGCTATTAAAAATTAACTTTTTGAGAATTACCAAAACCAGCTTTTATATTTTTTTTTATTAAAAAACAAAATAAAATTCTGCTGATCTCTATTTAAAAAAATTGTCAAACAAACCGACACCTTAAACTTCGTCAACATTCCAATAAGGCACATAAATACCGGACCTTAAAAAGACTTTGCACATGCGAGAAGGTAAAGCGTGAGAACTTGGTTAATAATAATAACAGAGGCGAAAACGGAAAAGTCAATCCACCATCACAGAGAACAAGAAAATCCCTAAATGGCGACGGCGATGTTCAGATCTAGTATTCTCTCCACCCTCCGCGGCCGCGCTCCTCGTGTAACGCCGGCTCCCAAGAGGACTTTCTCTTCTCACGCCTCCGTCGAAGAAGAGGCCCGTATGTAATCTTTATTCATTCTCAATTTGGATTAGGGTTTCTTCATTTGTGCTTGCATTAAATCCGATTTCTAATCCTTAATCTACAGCTCTCTGTTTTCTTTATGCGTTTCTCTAGATCTTGTGTTGCGTGCATATTGTATTTACATTTTCTTGAAATAGGACAAGTCATTAGTATAAAATGGGCCTGAACGGAATTGATATAAGATTGATATAACGATCCTAACTAGTTTGGGATTGAGGCATAGTAGGTTCGTTTTTCTTGAAGTGATTAACCTGAACGTGTATCCTCGTTTTCTGTGGCCAGGGGAAGCTTCTAAATGGGAGAAAATCACTTACGTTGCAATAATATCCAGCACTATTCTTGCAGTGGTTAATCTCTCCAAGGGTCATCCTCACAGTGAAGAGCCTCCTGTAAGCTTTGTCAATGAATTTGTTTTACTTTCTTTGATGTCAATAATCTTCGTTTTTTTTGTTTGTATTCAACGGTATGTTCATGTGTCTATCCATCCATTTTAGATGCAGATGTTAGGTTAATTTTAGAAATTCTTATTGGTTTTGTCTATTAGAGGTTATGCACTTGTTTCTTTCCAGGTAGTGGAAATAATTGTTTGATCCTTCGGTCCATAATATACCTAAAACAGGGTAAATAAGTGCAATGTGTAGAAATATATCACATATTCATAATGAACGTCCATAAAAAAGGTTTAAGCAGCTGGGAAATTTTACCAACACTTGCTATTGCAATGAGGATGTTTCAAGTGTTTAACTATTATATTCAAATTTCCAGAGGAGAATTGTGACACAACTCCTTTTCTTTACAACTTCATGATGAAGAATCTCATTCATTTCCTGAGAAAATAAGATACTATGAATAAGCTTGTGTGCTTGAGATACTTATAATTTAAGAAAGTAGTTAAAATAACTATTGAACCAAGATATGAATCAACAATAGAGGACAGAGGGCATCAATATATTAGAGGTGGAAGGAGTAGGAAACACTACGGAAGGAGTGGCAGTAAGAGAATAGGAGGACATTTTTGTGTCTGTTCCAAGCCAGCTTGCGACTAATTCCACGGGGCGATGGCTACCCTCAGTCCCTCACCAACACAGTTACCAGATAACTCTGTCCCCCAAGGCTTAGAGAAGAGAAGGAATACATTTCTTTAGAAAGGCTAACTGACCAAAGATGATCATTTTAATGTTTTTTTTTGGAAAAAAATTCCATTAGTTTCTTGATAGGTCAATGTAAAGGGTAAAGTATTTATGTGATAATTGACTTATGTTTTATATAAGTGGTCGTTGAAGAAAATATTTAAATAGTAGTTGAGAAGGCTAAATGACGGAAGATGGTTCTTATGTTTCAATTTGAATTCTTTAACCAATGGAGGAGTTATAGGACTATTATTATGAATGGTTCGATCATTTTTGTGATGTCCCAAAATGGAAATTTTCATATAATTGGACTGGAAATGAGTATTAAGGGAGTTTTGAAGAATTAGTCATCGTATAGAAACGTTTACTAAAAGCTGGACTTTTGAGAAGCCAACATCTAATTTCAATCCTTGGCATTTTGGCTATTTTGAGATTGCATGGAGGGGAATGTATTGATTTTTTTCAAAATGATAGTAACACGAGTGAAGTGTCTCAATCTATTTACTTCAAGATGTCAACATGGAAGATTGTTTTGATGTTACATCTAATTTTTATGTCCTTGCAGGCTTACCCATACTTGCACATTCGCAACAAGGAGTTTCCATGGGGTAATTATGTGACAAGTCATTTTCTGATTTTCTCTCTCAATAATTTCATGTTTACGGACTCATGCTTGGTGGTTTGACTGTATCTGACCTTTGATGGTAGCAATGCCGTTACCAGCGTTCAGCACTTGTTTGATAAGAAGAGTTTTACTGATGTATTACCTTTTTTTTTTCTCCTTTTGAGGTTAAAAATGTTGCAGCATGCTGTCAATGGTACTGAAGGGGCGATGTTCTCCTTATTGAATTTCCCCTTGGAAAATGATGCTAAAGGTTTAAATAATTGAGCATAAGAACATTATATGTTATTATGTTAAGTGTATATGCATCATTTGGAAAAAAAATTAGCTGGAAGAAAATTGCTAGATTCTTAGCACTAGGTACAGAAAATGCAATTATTCCCTTGATATCCCCTAATACATTTTGGAATTGATGATATTTGCTGCAATAGTTAAGAGGCAGGTAATTCGTTTCAACCCATATATTCATGTGGCCTGGTGTTGTTGGCAACTTGGGCAGATAATGCAATGAGTGAATTTTTCTTTTAGTTTCGTCTGTTGTGAAAAGAAAGTCAGAAGTTGAAATCAGAATTTTCATGTTCTGCTGCATATGCTTATCTGTTGTTTTGCTGGTTGATAATTAAAAGCTTCGAGTGCCTGTGCTAAAGGCCTCATTTTTAGTGTAAACATGATGTTGCATATTTGTATTATTTTAATTGTTAATTCAGGGCCCATAGCATGTTGTTGTACACTTTCTAGGATATACTTATTCTGATGTTGAAATTTCCATGTTTGCCATATTTTGTGCATGCATTTAGATCTGCTACCTGCTTAGGCAATGTTGTAATACCATTTTCTCTGGCCTTTGGTGAATGCAGGTCCAGATGGCCTTTTTGAGTCCAAGCACCATTGAAACTGCACGGTTTCTCTGTGAAGGCATTTAAATAATTCCTGTCCATCTGCGAGTATCATCATCACATTTGTTGTGTGAAAGCTGTTGAATTTTCATGAGATGTCTTCTGTTGGTTCTTTTCAGTATAACTAACTATTGCCTTCACTTTGGCGTATCTGTATTTTGCAGTATACTCTTGCTTCTTACAAAGCGATTTTTAAAGAAATAAGAATTGAGGGATGATTAAGTCATACCAGTTATTCTTTTCAACATAGTTGCTCTTAAATGTCCCATTCTGAATGTCTTTAATGCATTTGTATCATCTACTTGAGGTATTATTGACATCTGGGGTTATATTTCTTCATCTTTTCATTGGGATCGGATTAAATATGGATTTGTGCCGTGAAGTCCCACATTGGGGGTAAATCACTCCCTGACTTAAGCGTCTCTGTGTCAAGGGGGGATTCGTGCTTATTGGTACAATATAAGGGACGGATGTGATTATTTTGGCTGACCAAGCCCTCCGTTGAATGTGCTACAATACCCTATTTGCCACTAGTAACAGATGTGGCATTGTCAAAAAAATTGTTAAACAGTGAAGATTTTCAGTGACAGATGTGGTTTGTAATTGCTTGAGGACGGTCTTTGGTGACCATTACTTTACTATGTCCTGTAATCTTTTCCTGGGAAATTCATTTAGGTGACGTTTAGGAGTAATTTGATAAAAAAAATCCACATACAATGCAGAATATTTTGAATTTTTCTTTTTTTCACATAACACTTGACATAAATCATTGCAAGGTTTGATTTCAAATTTCATATAAGCATAACTAATAGCCCAATATGTTGGTCTTGAATGAATGTGTTAATTTATGATGGAGAATGTGGAATAAGAATACTAGGATTAATCTATGCATAACTTAGGAAATATTTAGGAGAACAGAGATCTTTTCCGTGGCATAGTTTTTAGTACAATCTCTGCATCTCTATTTAAACGCATAAATAGAAAATTTATCATCTATAAGGATGAAGAATTTTAAAATTGACAATCTTCCGAGTCTTCTATTTAATGGGACGACGAATCTCTATGATTTATAAAAGTCACCAATTAAATGAGAAAAACGACATTGCCATTTTGTAGAAGTCAATTTATCTTGCTTGTTAGAGGTATTTACAAGAAAGTGTCAACCGATCTTTTTTTCCCTCAGATACAATGGTAAGAAGAAGATCTAATGGAAAAAGCTACAGTCATTGTATACTCTACCCTTACAAACTCCGTCTATGGGATTACACGGGATATGTTGTCATTGTATAATGGTGAGAAGCACCTTATGCTTCAATCATTGTAATTGACTAATCAGATGCTTTTGGCAATATGTTCCAAAGATGAAGAAAACCTTTATCATTAATAATGCACGAAAAATTGCATGTTTAGACATGCAGATACATGTTTATGGGATAGAGATGAACAAGTAACTGAGTTCTGCGTAACATCAAACTATATATTTGTCACATGATGGCTCTTCGGAATCGACAGGCAAGCAAACCGAAGTTATCTCACTTTCATATTTGCCTTAAAAGACTTTGGAAAAGGCAGCAAGAAGAAAGAATGTGAATAAAACCTTGGCATAAAAATAGTACTACTACTACGTATCTATGTTACTCTGCTGTAGCTTCTTCATGACTGTTCCCCTCGCTTCCTGTCTGTGGCAATGTTCCCAGATCAGTACGAGCCTCTGTCTCTTCTCGAGGAATCGCAGAATCTGTCGACTCGACTTGCTTTTGCTGGCTATCATCAGGTTTGCTATTTGAGGTGGAAGAATCAGTTAATTTGGGGTCTGTCTCATCATTGTCATTTGAGGGATTTATTTTGTTCTCAGAGCCTGTATCAGAATTATTATCTGATTTCTGGTTCGCCTCATTTTGATCATTCCCACCTCCTGTTGACTTCTCAGTTACACCAGCTGTTACAGAGTTGCCATTTTGGTCAACTGTATCAGAGCCCTTTGAACTTGTTACTGATTCTTCATCTGCCGAGGAATTTGAATCTTTTTTCTCAGACTGCTGCTCATTTGGATTGTTCTGTGTGCCATCTCCAACAGAAACAGCTTCCTTAATTGAGTTGTTCTCATTTTGTGTGGTTTGAGAGGCAGAACTGTCATTTTCCTGCTGCTGTTTGTTGGCATCATTGGTTCCTTCTACATGATTGGAGTCCTCGCCGGAGTTGTTCTCATTTTGTGTAGTGTGAGCAACAGAACTTTCATTTTCCTGCTGCTGTTTGTTGGCTTCATTGGTTCCCTCTGCAAGATTGGAGTCTTCACCAGAGTTCTTCTCATTTTGTTTGGTGTCAGAAGCAGAACTGTCCTGTTCCTTCTGCTGCTTATTGGCTTCGTTGGTTCCTTCTGCAAGATTGGAGTCTTCACCAGAGTTCTTCTCATTTTGTTTGGTGTCAGAAGCAGAACTGTCCTGTTCCTTCTGCTGCTTATTGGCTTCGTTGGTTCCTTCTGCAAGATTGGAGTCTTCACCAGAGTTCTTCTCATTTTGTTTGGTGTCAGAAGCAGAACTGTCCTGTTCCTTCTGCTGCTTATTGGCTTCGTTGGTTCCTTCTGCAAGATTGGAGTCTTCACCAGAGTTCTTCTCATTTTGTTTGGTATCAGAAACAGAACTTTCCTGTTCCTGCTGCTGCTTATTGACATCATTGGTTTCTGCTGCCAGATTGGAGTCATTACTAGAGTTGTTCTCATTTCCTTGCTGATGTTCATTAGCTTTGTTGGTTCCTGCTGCATGATCTGAGTTATCACTAGAGTTGTTCTCATTTTGTATGGTATGAGATGCGGAGTTTTCATTTTCTTGCTGATGTTCATTGGCTTCATTTGTTCCTGCTTGATTGGAGTTATCATTACTGTTGTTTTCATTTTGAATGGTTTCAGAGGCAGAATTGTCAGTTTCTGTCTGCTGGCTAGTGGCTTCATTGTTTCCTGCTGCAGCATTAGAACTGCCCTCAGTGTTGCTTTCATTATTCACTTCTCCAACAGAATTTGTATCTGCAGAGCTATTTTGTTCAAGCATCTTATTTTCTCCAGCATCTGAATCCAACTTATTTTTCTTTTCTTGCAACTCATCTTCTCCCTTCTTGGATTCCTCCTCATTATTCAAGGCTACATTACCATCTCCTTCTGTACCAGTCATGTTTTCAGAATCTGAAGTTTCTTTGACCAATGAACTCTCTTCCTTGCCACTTTCCACTGTTGAAGCCTCATTAGTCGTATCAATCTCATCATGAACCTTATCTTCTGATGAGCCAGATTCTTCAGTTTTGCCTTGGTTCTCTTCCTTCTCTTTGCTGGCTTCATCAATCTCTGTGCTGTCTCCCTCATTCTTCTCTCCTTTGCTCTCGTCATTCTCTTTTACTTTCCCTTCATTACTTTCTTCCAATTCCACCGACTTCTTGTCACTTTCATTTTCAACTTCTTCTTCACTTCTATTTATAGAGGTTTCTTCACTTCCACCCTCTTCACTTTGTGCCTTCTCCTCTTTCAAATCAGTTCCCGCATCAACATTTCCCTCAGTTCCCTTCTCTTCACTTTCACTGTCATTGTTCTCTTTAACATCCTTGACTTCCTTTTCTAATCCCTGATCCTTAGTTTCTTCACCCTCAACGTCACTTTGCTTTACCTGATCTTTTTCACTATCTTCTTCTCTGGTTTCATTAGCTTCACTGTTATTGGTATTCGTGTCAGTGGCTTCCTCATTACTCTTGCCTTTGCCATCGTCAGTGTTCTCTTTGCTTTCTGCTTCAACATTTTCTCCACCCACTTCTTTCTCCTGGATTTTTTCTATCCCTGTATCCGCATCCACTGAATCCCCTTTATGCTCACTATCCTCCGCTGATTTTTCTAGATCATGGTCATGCTCCTCCACTTTGATGTCATCATCAAAACACTTAAGCTCATCTTCCTCTGTCACCTCCTTCAGCTTCTCATCATCAATATCTACTTCCTTCTTTTGAGGTAGGAGGTCCTTCCTTCCAAACCTTATAACATCATTGTCAGTTTGTACCTTCTCTGAGGCTCGTGTGCTTTGTTCAAAAGATGCTTTCTTGCTCCGTGAGTGCTGGACCTGGTAAAGCAGCCAGATACAAACACCGACAAGTACACATATCTGAAGAGCATGCTTCACCTTGAAACCTTTATTTCTCTGTTGGTTTCTACGCGGCGAGTACTTGAACATGATGATATTCTTTTAAACCAACCACAGCTCTAAAAAAAGATCCAAAAAGAAGGTGCAATTTAGGGGCTTGTGCCAAAGAGAACCCACAAAAAACACTAAATTTAGCTTTACAGAATACTGACATATATCATGAGAATAACACCAAATTGGTATATCTAAACAAAACAAAACAACAATACTGCTTTACAGAGGCCATTGTAGACAGTGTTAGACAATCAAATCGACTTAGTTAAACTAAAGATTGGTTACTTTCTGGATCTGAGTTACTACTACTTCCTTACTTCCATCCAGATCTAAACAGTGGCCGGGGGAGCTAACAAGATTCAACAACATATGCTGCAATAAGTTTGGCAGATGCCAATGAAAAAAGGTAAGGATTCAAGAAATTGGTCATATCAGATACACATGTCTGAATATTATCCTTGAATCAACAAGCAAGTTCTCAATCATTTATTCAACTCAAGATAACCCCCAACATGAGACACAAATAGGGAATCATTTTAGCACAATTCATTGAACTGTGGATGTGTTACATAATTTAAAGTCAGGTACTATTTTAACATAATGAAGGCGACCAAGCACATAAACTATTAATGAAGAGTGGCAGGCAATTGAAACTGCAACAATTGAAGCACATCCAGAAATACAAACACATTGTTTTCAAAAGATCTGCATTTGTCAATATGCGTAGAACAGCAAGGATAATATATCCTAACAAACTATTCAAAACAACCTAAAAATTTGATATCTTTCCACAAAACTAAAAGAGAAAAAGGCATACCTGATGCACTAATAGAAGGGAGTCTCTGAGTCTGGATGCAAGATCCCAATGGTAATGAAGCAAAAAGTTGGTAACTTTATAGGCAAATTTGGTCAATGATTAGAATAGAAGAAAAGGTGCAATAGTAAGATCCTTAAACCGCAAACTTAGTAATAATATAACAATAATATGCTTCTAATACTGGAACCCCATTAACAATATTGTGTGAAAAAGGCAAAGGGAAAAATGGTTTAAGAGTTTTATGGGTGACAAGTAGTTTTTGTAGAGGTTGAATCAAGAACTATCAAAAGAGGTGAAGATGTGACCTTTTCTGTTTCCTTTTTTTAGTTTCAGATCAAGATCCAGTTTTTCTCACTTTATTTGGAAACCAAACCACACATAATTCCCCTCCTTTTGTATAATTTAAACATCTGTAGCGTTTACACTGGGGATCTCTCCTCCTCATCTCCTAATTCTGCGAAAAACGACGTCGTTATAAGTAGTTAGGTTGTCGTTTTAGTGAATTAAATTTTAGCGTAAAGCGGAGAAGCTGCCACGTGTCACCGAATAAAAAAACTAAGGCGGTCTGCATCGGTGAACCGGTGACTCGGTGTTTATTTATTTTTGTGATAAGAAAACAAACCGCTGAGTCAGAAATCAGCGAGTTTTGAAATCATGTTTTCGAAGTTTCTAACGACAGCGTTGCGGCGCAGTGTGCCTAAACCCTGCCATGTCACCCGCCGTCTCCGCCCTTTCTCCACGGCGGCAGCGGTGGTTGGAGAACCGTATGAAGAGGATACTACGGGTATTACTATGAAAGGTGTGAAAATATCCGGCAGACCTCTATACCTAGATATGCAGGCAACTTCTCCGATGGATCCTAGGGTTCTTGACGCTATGCTTCCTTATCATATCTCCCGTTACGGAAATCCTCATTCCCGTACTCACTATTACGGGTGGGAATCGGATCAGGCCGTTGAGGCTGCCCGAACTCAAGTCGCGACCCTAGTTAAAGCTTCTCCAAAGGAGATAATTTTCACCTCCGGTGCTACTGAGTCCAATAACATCTCTGTCAAGGGAGTTTTGCACTTCTATAAAGATAAGAAGCGACATGTTATTACTACTCAAACGGAGCACAAATGCGTTCTGGATTCTTGCCGTCACTTACAGCAAGAGGGCTTCGATGTAACTTACCTTCCCGTTAAGTCTGATGGACTTGTTGACCTGGAGAAGCTTCGGGATGCAATAAGGCCTGATACGGGGTTGATATCAGTTATGATGGTGAACAATGAAATTGGTGTGATTCAGCCTATGGAGGAAATTGGGAAAATTTGCAAAGAATTTAATGTTCCTTTTCATACTGATGCCGCACAAGCGTTGGGGAAGATTCCAATTGATGTGGAGAAGATGAACATAAGTTTGATGTCGCTAAGTGGGCATAAAATTTATGGGCCAAAAGGTGTTGGAGCTTTGTATATGAGGCGTAGGCCAAGGATTAGGGTTGAGCCCCAGATGAATGGGGGTGGACAAGAGAGAGGGATTAGGAGTGGGACAGTACCTACTCCGTTAGTGGTAGGGTTTGGGGCAGCTTGTGAACTTGCAATGAAGGAAATGGAATATGATGAGCAGAGGATTAAAGCTTTGCAGGAGAGGTTACTGAATGGTATAAGGTCCAAGATTGATGGGGTTGTTATAAATGGAAGTGTTGAAAGGCGTTATTCTGGGAACTTGAACATATCTTTTGCATATGTGGAAGGTGAGAGCTTGTTGATGGGGCTGAAGGAGGTTGCAGTGTCAAGTGGAAGTGCGTGTACCAGTGCAAGTTTGGAGCCCTCCTATGTGTTGAGGGCGTTGGGAGTTGAAGAAGATATGGCCCATACATCAATTCGATATGGAATTGGGAGGTTTACTACTGAGCAAGAGATTGATCGTGCGGTAGATCTTACAGTCAAGCAGGTTGAGAAGTTGAGGGAAATGAGCCCACTCTATGAAATGGTTAAAGAGGGCATTGATATAAAGAGTATACAGTGGGCACAACATTAGATTGATTGTTACACGAGCATTTGGAATGAAGTCGATCGTCCAGGTTCTTGTTCAGAATATTTATTACATGTTCTGGAGCTTCAAGGCTATTTTTATGAGTTGAGTTTCTGCAATAAGATGTACTGTCGTCGACTGTAAGTTGACGCTGTAATTGTGTATGATATAGCCGTTGAGTTGCTTTAGTGACAGGATGTAGCATCTATTTTGGTAAAAATGATGGGTGTTTCTGCCCTTGGATTTTTGTTTCTAATATTCTGTTTGTGACCATTGAAATGCTTATATGATTTTGACCCAATTGTGTTTGCATGATTATGTTAGGAAAGTTTATGGTGTTTCTGATTATGTTAGGAAATAATTTTGGCTGTATTTACTGCATTCATTGATCTGCACTCGCTACCTCTACTATACATGTCAGGATATGAAAAGATTGGACGATTGCCTGTGACATATCTAGGACATATATCATCTTGTCGGGGTTTGAACTCTACAGGGTAATGTGCTTTGAGGAAAAATATCAAGGGTACGCAGAATGAAATTCGCTTGTACTCTTTGCCTATGTTGCCTTGCAGAATATGGGAGGGCACCTTGCCTTGTGTCCGTCATTTTTGTTTGCTTGATGCCATCTTTGTTTAAGGTCCTTCCTTTCTAGTTAGTTTTGTCATCACAACTGAATGCTGTGAATTAGTGCTATCTGGTTATATGACAAATTAATCTGAAGGTTGCACATTTGAAGATTCCAAGATCTTATTCATGGCAATGAACACCTTAATTAGGGTATTGAATTCTATTTACTTTTTGTGTGTTCCTGCTATTTCGAAGCTCTTCATGATTGACGTCTTACAAGGAATTTTCTGGTACCACCCACATATTTGATGTCACGGGCTATTAGGGGAGTTCTTAGGATTTCCTTTTTTCAAGTCATTTATGGGAGTCATGGAGAGACCAAGATTGATGGAATCATGGTCATTGATAGAATCATGGTCTATTTTACTACCTTCTCCCCCTTTCCTGTTAATCTTGTTTACCAAAAAGATTGTACTGTTAAATTTGTATGAGGTCATAGACAGCGTCTTAGTTTAACTCGTTAGGTTCGGTTATTAGCGGGATGATAATTAGTAAAAATGACATAATGATTACAAAGCAAATAAAAAGGTAGTCGTATGAAGCTTTTGAGCTTTCATGATGTGGGTGAGCACTGAATCCGGCGTTGTTAGCTTCAATTCTGAGAACGACTTGGTGAAATCAATGCTATAAGACAAGGACTTAAGTGTGTGGAAGACCCTATTTATAGATTACAAAGATTAAGCATAAGGCAATAAAAAGGCTCCACCCAAACCCTAGCGTACCATGACCAATGGATGATGTCTATGTGGAAATGTGTTAGTGGTGTTAATCAATATTCCTCTGTCGGGCTCAAGCTATTTGTATCTGTCCTTTTGGCTACGTCATCGGGGCATGAGTCCTTCTCTACTCTTCGGATCGCGTGCTTTTGGTTTGTTCCGATGATAACCATTCGTATGGCACCTGGAACTCTTTGAATGGCTCACTTCTCTGGTTTCACCTTACTTCTTTGGGCCTTCTTTGCTAATCATCACGTGTTCTCCACTCATACTGCCATGTACTCTGGCTAATTTTACCCAAATGCACCATAGTCGGCAGCTGAGAAAAATAAAAAGCAAACAAAGAATTTTTAAGTAAATGACATCTTCATCTGAATGAGAGTGATGAGAGAATATGTGAACCTTCTGCAGGGTTGTTGGAGGTTGTGCCTTCTTTCTTTTGGAGGCCATTTCTTGAACTTTGGAATATGCTTTTAGAGTCGAGACATTTGAAGTATTGTCGTGCTTATTTTGCACTCTGATTTCTGTTATTTCTAGTTGCTTCTTTAAGGAGTGATATCTTTGCCTTGTATTTCTCAATGAAATCATCCCTGTGCCAGCTTGTACTATCTTTCCTTGTACTGAGCCTAGTTGTCTATGAACGGTAGATGTAGTTTGGGCTGCTAGGGGGGAGTTTGGACTTTCAGTGATTCACAGTTTTTTATATAGCGTTAGTTGCATAATTTTGGTGTTATTACTGTTCATAATTGCTTAGTGGATTGTGTTTATGGTGCTGATTTTATTGATAGCATGCAAGGGGAAAATTCGGAGATGTTTGCTGGCATTCTGTTGCTGGATAAGAATTGGTTCTTAGATTAGTAGGTGATATAAGGTACAACCGAATGAGCACGAATCCTAAATTCTATTGGTAGTTTGTTGCTTCTAGCAGGCGACTTTTTCATCTTCTGTCGAGCTTTATAGGGCATTTATATGCTGTAAATTCAGAATACCAGATCCTGGTTTCTAGTGCTATTCTATATAGTTGTTACTTGTTAGTAAAGCTGAAATTTTTAACATGCCGTGTATTTTGAAAGCATTCACTTGTGGGATTACACTAGTATGTTGTTATTGTGTATTGTGAAAGCACTTCCTTAGATCCTAATGATGTGTAATTGTTTTGTGACACTGTTTTCCAACATGGCATCAAGAGTTTACCTGACTGACCGTCAATGAAGTCGAAATGGGTTGTGTAGACTAGTGATTTGTAGCATGTCATGCGTTCAAATACTGCTTATTCTAGGAAGTGTTTTTTTTTTTTTTTTTATGAAAAGGGAAACCCGCAGCCGCTATCCTTTGGGTGCGCACAGGGTAAAATCCTGCTACTATGCAATAGCTCGCAAACCACATAGGAGAGGTAACCTGCACTAGGCAAGCCCGGTGCGACGAGCTCGACCCAGAAGCAAACCTCTTGCTTTTGCTGGCAAGGGGTTTTGAACTTGAGACCTCCAACATGGAAGTCCCAAGCCCAAACCACTGGGCCACCCCGGAGGGGTTCTAGGAAGTGTTTTTTGTTGAAATGCTTACTGAAAAAAGTGTATTTGGAAGACTGGTTGAATGTGTTTGGTTTATCACTTTGAAAATCATTTGTCATATTAAAGGTGCAATGTGTGCTTGGTCAAAGCTTTCAGAAAGTGTTTTTAGGAGAAGATACTTCTTTCAGCTTTTTGAAGAACAACTTTTCTTTCTACCCAAAAACCTTATTTTCCCACTAAAGGTTTGGCCAATCACATTAGCTCTTAAAATAAGCACTTCTCCCTTTTAGAAGTTTGCCCAAGCAGAGCAATAGATCTCAGCAGACACGAAGGGATAATGCCATAATTAATGGATGACTTCTTTTGATCTTGCTTGGTCTTCGTAAATAGGATCATCAGTAACTGTGCTGGTGGGAAGCAAGGTGCATGTTAGATCAGTCGAGGTGCACCTTAGTTGGGCCGGTGCACAACATTAAAAAAAAAGGCTTTCTTTCAGCAATCAAAATATGATGCCTTTATGATGTCGTAGAAAAT